CTTCAGCCAAATGGAGCAAATGACATACATTGTCAATTGCATACAAATTTACAAGACATATTGATGGCCCAGTTTCGCACACGTACATTTGCCTCACTACATTTTCACTCGTATAAAGCCAGTTTCACTAAAGTTGGCGGCAACTGAGCTTTGGAACAACAACAACTTGCACTTATATAGCGCCCTACACACAGGGTAGCGTCTCAGAACGCTTAACAGTGATGGAGCCTGGCTCCGAGCCGGGGGGGGATAGGGAGGTGGCCGTAAGCATGGTTGAAAAGGAAGGTGTTCAGGCGGGACTTGAGAAAGGGGAGGGGGCAAGGTGGAGAGATTGAGGGAGAGTGTTCTAGAGTTTCAGGGCATAGTGGCTGAAATCGCGACCTCCGATAGTGGGGTGGAGGGTGCGAGGGACAGGCAGGAGGCCGGTGCCAGTTGAGTGGAGGCGCCAGGTGGTGGATTGGGGAGTGAGGAGGCCGGAGAGGTAGGGAAGTGCTAGAGAGTGAAGAGATTTTAACACGAGTGAGAGGATCTTGAAGCCAATCCATTTGGTGATGGGGAGCCAGTGGAGCCTGGCCAGAACTGGTGACATGTGGGTACGGAGTTCAGTCCGGGTCAGTATGCGGGCAGCAGCTTTTAGAATGAGCCGCATCTTTTGAATAGTGGAGCTGGGAAGACCGGCAAGGAGTGTTTTGGAGTAATCCAAGCGGGAGGTGAAGGACAGCTGGGGAAGGACAGGGAAGGAAGGACAGCTGGGGGTTGAACCGGGCGCCTAGATTGCGCACTGGTTCGGTGAGTTTGAGGGAGAGCCCACGGAGGTTGAGGAGTTTAGATCCACAGGAGTGAAGACGTTGATGGGAGCCAAAGTGTATGGCTTCCATCTTGTCCACATTTAGCTGCAGGAAGTTTGCACTCATCCAGGCCCAAATGTCTGCCAGACAAACTGATAGAACATCGGGGGACCTGGAGTTGGTACTGGAGGAGGCAAAGTAGATTTGTGTGTCATCCATATACATGTGGAAGTTTACCCCACGTCTGCGGATGACATCGCCCAGAGGGAGCATATAGATAAGGAAAAGAAGAGGGCCAAGGATGGAGCCCTGGGGTACCCCACTGAAACTTAAAAAGTTTAAGTTTAGAAGTTCCTCAATGGCCCTTACTGTTGATTAATATAATTAGAATTAGTGTAACAACTTGTGATGCTCAAAATCAAATGGCGTCCAGTGATGGTTAAGGATGCTCTTTTGTGCACTTGCACAGACCTCTTCTTTGATTGCATGCAACCCTAGAGTTTATTTCCTCGTATAACTTGCCAGCTAGCTCACATCGCTGTACAATGGCCATTGCATGAGATTTGCACCCATTGTATAATTGAACCATTACTCCTTTAAGTTCATACATTGCACTATTTCCAAGCATAAGCTCTGGAGGCACCTGTAATCTGACTGCTTTGTGCAGGTTAATGATATTTTTCATGACACAGCTGTTGCAACACATTTTTTGCCTGGTTGAAGATTGTTCTTGCATAAAATGCGTTGACTGTTGTATATTGCATGTGGTGAAGAAGTATCTGATGCCATTAGTAATCTGAATATAAATATTACTTGTGTTTGATACAGAACCTTCTCATGTCATAACAGAGTTACTTACTTGAAAGTTGTCAGCCTTGCTCAGTTGGAAGCACTCTCATGTCTGAGTCAGAAGGTTGTGGGTTCAAGCCCCATGTTGGAAATTTGAACTCATACTCCAGGTTATCATTTCATGACAGTGCTGGTGGAATGCTGCATTGTCGGAGATGCTGTCCTTCAGATGAGACATTTAAATGAAATCCCGTCTGGCTGTTCAGTTGGATGTTAAAGATCCCCTGGCTCTAGTTGAAAACAGAAAAGAGTTTCTCCATGTGGTCTGGCCAACATTCCACGAGAGAAAAAAATGTGTTCATTCACGACATGGCAGTTTGTGGGACATTCCTGTATGATGACTGGCTGACATATTTGTCTACAAATACAGTCACTACAATTTACAGAACAAACTCTGAAGCTGTTTAAGATATTTTGATGTGATCAAATGCTAGGGTTAGAAGTATAGTGTAACACTCACATAAGTCGAATCAGTTGGGACCATAACATTTAATATGACTTGCACAACGTCTGAGTTGGAGGCAAACTGTATAAATCGTATAAAATCCGATTTAATCTAATCTAAACTGCGCATGCATAACTTAATGCAGCTGGTAAGTGTGCATGTGTCCAAGGGTCAGAACATCATTTCCCGTGATTCAAGGCAGCCACTAAGTACAGGAGTAATGGAGGATATGGGAGCGGCATTACGAGTTAGGAGGTGATTAGTTTGAGTATTGCAAGGCAACCTAAGTGGTTTTGATAGGAAACTGAATGGGACTCAATTGAATTTCCGATTTAGGCGATTATATGATTTATAAAGATAAGACTTATCCAAGTTTTACTGTAGGCAAACATAGCAGCTAATCAGTGCAGAATCATTCAGTAAACTGTAATGAGATAAATGACAAAATTTAATTTGCTTTTTATAGCGAGTGAGTGATATGGACCAAGCCACTGAAAATTCCTTGCTCTTCCTCTGAAACCTGTCACGGAATCTTTGACATCCACCTGGTCCAGGAAAACAGACAGACAGGGTCTTGGTTTAAAATCTTATCCAATGGGCAGCATCTGTAACATAGGGCTCTCTCAATATTGCAACAGTTTTTCAGCCTTGAAAAGGAGCTCAAATCTGAGTGTGGGCCTTGACTCCTTTACTATCTGAATAACTTGTTAATAGAATCAAGATTGTTGATTATCAGTGTCTCAAAAGGTCCTGCCCTTGCTCTCATCTAACACTAGGTGCTTTTTTGGAAGCCATAATAATAATAATCCTTGTATTTGATATTGCGGCTTATTTCATCTTCGAGACGTCTCAAAGCGTTTCACAGTAATACTGTAAAGTGAATTGACTGCATATTTTTGTGGGTGAAACGCAGCAGTCAATTGCATACAGAAGTGTCCCACAATCAGTCGTGGATTGAATAACTCCATTTTTTAAAGGGATTATTAGCCCCGGATCCACCAATTGACTAACAACCAGGTTCCTACTTACTACTAGATAAACAGAGGTGTGTAGAGTAAGGAAAGTTGACCAACGTTTCGTCCTGCCAGGAATCAAACTCGGGTCTTTTCACATGGGAGGCGAATGCTATAAGCACTAAGTTACAGGACTCCCCTAGCCATACACTACCTACTACAGCAAAGGCTCAAAGTTCTGTTTCTTGAGTGAACACTGTGCATGTTGTGCAGCAAGCAGAGCACGTACTGTTCACTGCGGTGAAAATGGAGCAAGCGTTTGCACTGAAGGAATCAAGGGCGTAAACGTTCTGCATGTGCTGTATCATGGCTTGCATTTGTAAATTGTGGTAAAGAATTGCTTTCTTCTCCTTAAAATGTATCCAGCTTTAGTTGCTATGTTACAGAGCAATTTAGATCATTGACAGAAACGGCAATACTTTGGCTTCTCCTCATTTCTCTCCCCCTCCCCTTTCATTTAAGCCTGAAAACAATTAGTTGCCATGACACTTTTTTCTCTTCGTATATTGGCAGTGTAGTTTCCTAAGCAGTTCAATGTATATGCAACAGTGTGCTTTTTCTCCAAAATAGTTTTTTGTTATTCAGACATTATACTATGTCTGTTAATATTAAAAGTATAATTTTTATTTTTCTTGGCACAAAATTTTGAACATTCATTAGTGTGCATTTATTTTCCTTCCTTTTTTGTGCATTGACTGTTAAATGGCAACCTCTTGTGTGTAAATAAATACCCTGGAGCTATTTTAAACCAAATACAGTATAATTTGTTCATGTTTTGGGTAATAAGAGCATCAGATGAAATTTAGGTCCATATCCTGCCACCCCAACCTTTTGTGTATTTATTGCATTCTACGGAGCAGAAACAAACAAGGATCATGGCCTAGCTTCCAGTAACCGTGGAAACAGTAGCTTTTCATGAGGCTTAGTATACAATAAAGTGCTCGAGTGTCAGAAGGATTAGAGCCTTTTTTTTACAACCTGCTTTATTTTCTCCCTGTCAGTGGGCAGATGAACAAGGCGGGGGGGTGGGGGGGAGGTAGTAATGTGAACATTAGGTTGGACTTTCTTTAATCTCTTGTAGCACTTATGTTCCTCTGCTGGTGCTCGCAGTCATCCAGAAGCCTGAGTTTCATGCAACACTCTAACAAGGAACTTCATGTTTATTCATGACCAGCTTTGTTGGCAGACAGGTGCTTGGGGAGAAGAGAAAAAGAAACGGATTGAGAATTTCGATGCTTGGATTTCAAAACAAAATTAGCAAAAAAGAAGAAAGGTTTTTGCTTGGGGAGGGGGGGGTTATAAATTGCAGAATGTTGCCCAGCGTTTGTAGCTTCCTGTTACATTGAACAGTAAGGTGTGAAATCACTGGTGAGATTCCCCACCCTATGTTCCCCACCCCATATTGTGAAATTGTCTTGCAGAATTAATTGTGATCTTTGTGGATTGATTTCAGGAAAGGAAAGGGTGATGGGAGAAGATGAAGCTTGGAGTGGGGGTAAGATTTGGGACTATCAGAGTGATTATTATTATATCAATAAAGGTTCTGCAACAGTCCTTGAAGATACAGCAAAGTGTTTGCTGCAATGTTGGATATCAATTGAGTTAGTACATTCTACCTATGTAGCGGTTAATTTTTGTCTTGAAAGATAATCTTTTCTGAACAAGTGTGTAAAGTAATTGTTTCCTTTGCCCATTTCCTGTTACAACATAGGGTGTGTTGTGATAAATATTCTCCCTTCTAAAAGCATTAAACCCGGGATGAGTGAAGAATGGACTGTTTTCATTTTGCAGTTGAATGTGTCGTTCTCACCCGTACTTCTGCATTGTTATTGTTTTATTACCATTAAAACAAAGATGATACAAACATTGGACCACCTTATAATTCCTTAATGCTGAGTACCACAGTCATGAGCCAGTGGGCAGTGTTTGCCATCCGGAATCTGACAGAACAAAACATCGAGAATCAGCAAGTAATAGCCCAAATGGAGCGCCAAGGTGTGGCAGACAGCACCATGCTGAAAGGCATGGGATTTCAGGCAGAAGAGCGAAATGGGAAGCTCTATTTGAAATCCTCGAAGAACAACCCATGATTGCAAGACGAAAAGGATAAAAGCTTCATCGTAAAGCTCAAGGTGGTTTCGTCTGTCATTTTTCCAGTTCTCATTAGCTCTTATCCCAAAGAGAAAATATAGAACTCAGTGTCGAAGTGGAGTAATGATAGGAAGTTGATCTTGTTTGAAGAGCAAGAGATTATTTAACAATGTTTGGATTATAAGCAGTGTTGATAAGCACTTCGAGTCCTGAATTCCTAGATGTAAGTGAAATAGATGAGGTTTAAAGATCAGCAAACATTGGGTTGGTAACGTACAAGTAAACATTTTTCCTCACAAAACGCATGGGATAAATCAGCAGGAATTATACTTGACTCAACAAGAGAAGACGTGGATACAATTCAACTTGGCACGAAGAAACAAAAACAACAAACCAACATGAAACACAATAATAATATCTTACAGGTTTCATTAATCAAATGGCTGTGCGATTTAATGTGGGGGCTCCAGTGAGGGGAATGATTTGCTATGGGGTATACTTTGAGAGAAATGTGAAATGCTCGACAAGAAAGATAATGTGAGATTAGAATGTGATGTCAAGGAATTAAAGGTTATAATCTGCTACATAACCATGTGCTGTCTAATTGCTATTTGCGTCCATCCATGAGCAGGTGCCAGTTATGTGTTCCTCATTAGCAAGCACAAAATAATAGTTAAACACAACAAAAAATCTCTTTAAACTTTTTCTTTCTTCTTTATATTTACAATATCTTTGATAACTGCATTGTACCAATAGGAGTATAGACATAGTCATATTAATTGAATGTGCACATGCTGGATTTTGTGTTTTACTTGGTTGATATTTTGTTTTACTATAACCTGATGAAATGGCTGTGTGATTGTTTTGCAGCCGGTTTAGCTCTGAAGATCAGGTATCAGAAGATGTGCTTTTAAAGATGGATCTGGCCCTGGATGTCATCTCTCACCTTGTGACCACCAGTATTCTGTCTTGCAGCCCAGTTACAAGTTTTCCTGTTGAGTTTTGCTGGGTTCAAATGTGATAGTTCAGGTTGAAAGAATATGATGGTGATACATAAGAAAGTGGTATCACGTTTGATGCAACCCAATGCTTCAGCCAAGCAGAATTTAGCATTGGTGTACACTAAATTCTGAGTTGGAACTAAATTCATCAACATTCTCAGACAAAATAGGGCCAAATACTCTATTCTGGAGATGCCAGACATCTAATGTCTTGTGGTTCCTTTACACAAAATAATTGTTGAAGTATGGGGTAAACTTGAACCCATGTTCCCTTTAGGGCCAACTAGGGTGAACCATACCCTGAATTGGAGAGATTAACACTGGGTAGCAAGCCAGGTTTGGAACTCATTTTTTTTTAAACTTAATTCAAGAACGTGGTGAACACCAGCTTTAGATTATGAGAAAATTTGCAGGCCTGATCAGGGTGGAATTTTTTCGGAGTCCTACGTTCAGATATTTAGAATTAGTTTGCCAATGTGGGATGTACAGCAAATTGAAATGCATTACTAAAGAAAAGTATCTAATCTCTATGCTGGTCATTCTGTTCTCGTCTCTCATCAAAACTGATCCTAATTTTTTAAGCATTACAGAAACAGCTGGTGGCATTTTGTATAGGTTCAATCGTTGTTTTTCACTTCAGACCAGTTGTTGTTCCCCATTACAGCACCTGAAATTAAGGTAATAAGTGTGTGGAGCTACAATAATACTTCTTCAAATAATTATAATGTACATTGTGTCCTAGAAAATTTAAAAACGTTGACAGTGGTAGCCCAAGCAATAGGTAATATGAAATCCAAAACATACTCAGACAACTTGCCAACTGTATTGTGAGAAGCATCAACAACTGTCCTTCAGGGCAGAATTACTAGCTTTGCCTCAACTTGAATGAAAGAGAATTTAAAATTACAAAAGACCTGCAGCTTGTTTGAAGAGCTGTGGGTAAGGGTGGAGGGGGAGAAAAATGTTCATGAGATCTTGCTGCGCATCAGAATTTGTGAGTTTTCATTAACCCTGAATACAAACTTCAGTTAAAATAATTATTATTATTTAAGAAAAACTTTGCATCAAGAGACATTGGAAACATGGGATTGTACAGAGCCAGAAAAGACCAATGTAGTCCATTAGCATGGATTACTCTTAATTTTTTTTAAAAAAAGGTACTTTATATTTACAAGTGCTCCTTTTAGATTTTTGTTCCTCAAGTACTTTGAGTTAACCTCACTTACCAGTCAGTACTAGGTACACAAATGATCCTTTCCTCTAATTCCTTTTGCGTTCTCCCATTTGCCTATCCAGGTAGCTTCTCTGTGCATTACAGCACATGCTTGTTTCTTTGGAAGTCATTGTGACAGGTGTGTCTATCTGGTGGTGTCTGGTGCATTAAGCAGCAACTACACCTAAGAAATAGAGTGATTCATGAAGAGAAACATTAAAAAAGTAACTTTGTCAGGTATACAGGATTTATTCTTGAAATTACAAAGTAACCATCAGTCCTCACCAGGCTCTCCTAGGTCCTCATCCACAAATGGATAGACTTCAAGGTCTTCACCATCACCTATAAATCCTTTCATCTTCCAGTACCTCCTCTGACTCTCGACCCCTGGCTCAGTTGGTAGCACTCTTGCTTCAGAGTCAGAAGGTTGTGGATTTGAACAGCACATCGGGACTTCAAACTCACGCATCAATTTAGTGCTGGGCACACATTGTTGGAGGTGCCATCCTTCAGATGAGAAGTTCAACCAACTCTCCACCTGCCTGTTCAGGTGGTTGCTAAACCTTTCCATGGTACAATTTAAGAAGAGAAGGGAACTTCTCCTGGTGCCTGGCGAACAATCCCCCTGAAAAAAATTGCTCATTCTTTTTATGGCTGTTTGTGGGATATCGCTGTGCACAAATTGCTCTGTCTACCTACAAATACACAATCACTACACTACAGTAAAATCCTGTGAACTGCTTTGAGACATCTTGATGACATGATAAGGCGGTATATCAAATGCAAGGATTATTATATTATGTTAAAAGTGAATGGCTTCATTTTCAGCTTAGACAAGGTCGGACTGCCTCAAAATCTTCTCAAAGGTGAGTCTTCAAAATGTATGAAACGCAATTCATTAAATTTAGGCAAGACGGAAAATTTCTTAAGCTTGCATTCTTTTCTGTGTGTATTACATTTGATACTACTTGGTTTTCCTTGGAATGTCTAATATGCGGAACTGGAAATGTTTCCAATTACAATGACATCTGAGCTTCAAGCTCTTGTTCTTCACACAAAAATGGTATTACTTTCAAATCATTGATTTCACTTTCCTTAATACCTTTGCTTTCCTTTTTCTTAACTTTTGCTGCAATTGCAGAAAGTAAATGTTATCTCTGTAAATTTACAGTGACTTGTACTTGGCAATAAAGGTTCTCAGCAAACACAGCATTGTGATTGTACGGACATACAGTCTTCGATGCTGGAAGCAAACAAACATTGATGCCAGAACAGGGTTGCTTTCAATGAAAGAGGATTTGTGAAAATGCATTGATCCTGAAACATTTCTTACCCAGTGCTTCTTTACCAGTTTCCTGTAGTGGAAGTAGGAGTGAAATGAAGAGGATTTGTGGGTTGACCCATGGTCCTTTTTGGCCTGGAAAACAACAGATGTTGCAACTCCAACCATTATATGTTAGCAGCCTTTCAATCTTGTTAAATTCCTTTATTTGTCTCTCTTTGGAACTTCTCACATTAGCTCGCATTAAGTTCATAGTCTAGTTGTAAAGAATCGCATATTCCGTAAATAATTTCACACCGGCATTCCTCTCAGCACCCCTCATTATTTTGCCTTCTTAAAACACAAGGAGTATGATTCAACAAGGAATAGAGCCTGGTGTAGTGTTGGGCATTACAGTTGATCCAGATCCTACCTCATCTCTACGCATGGACATTTTCCCCATCTTGGATCACTGAATATCGTGGAGTCCTGTAGCTCAGTGGTTAGAGCACTCGCTTTGCAAGCGAGAGATCTGAGTTCAATTCCAGGCAGGGCGAAACCTTGGGCAAGTTTCCTTACTCCACACGCCTAATAATAATCCCTCCAAAACCCCAAACAATAATAAAAATTGGTCATTTTCAATCTACGACTGTTTGTGGGACATTGCTGTGCGCAATTGGCTGCCGCGTTTCGCCCACAAATATACAGTCAATTCACTTTACAGTGTGTTCTGTGAAGCGCTTTGGGACGTCCTCCCGACGTGAAAAGCGCTATATCAAATGCAAGGATTATTATTATTATAATGGTGAGGAGTTGATTTTTCCTTTTAATAATATAATAATAATCCTTACATTTGATATTGCGCCTTATCACTTCTTCGAGACGTCTCAAAGCGCTTCACAGAATATACTGTAAAGTGAATTAACTGTATATTTTCACAGTCAAGAGTTAGTTATAGTGCTCGACTGCGGCCCCAGCTGGAATAAGCTTGTCAAGGAGGAGGAACATAAAGCATACAGTACACCAACCTGCCATTACAGTGGTAGTTTCGTGCTGGAGGCCTGATAACTAACTGCCTTCTTGAGAACAGAATCCACTGATCAGGTAACCTGTTCAGGATCCCAAGAAGCAAACTGCACATATTGTGCAAATTTAGCACAGTGACCCTGACACCTTATCACTGTTGTCCTTGTCCAGGATATTGAGAGGGTACAGATTGAACGTGTATTTACAGATGGATTCAGTTCCACTCTTCAGTCCATATCTCTTTGTTCACCTCGATAAGGAAAAACATAAGGCAAGACTAATATTGAGACTTAAAGGTGAAAGTGAGGACAAGCACTGCTCCTACCAGATGTGTTTGCATGATTACCCCATTTCTAGTTGAAAATATTTCTAACCTGACTTAGTTGGAGATTAACTTGATTATTTGTAAAGGGAATGAATGGGGCTAAATTTGGATCTCAAAATTAACGTGTTGGAATAGCCAGTGAACATAACTTCAGAGCACTTGGCTCCTGATTAGGCAACACAACTTTAAATCTCATGTGGACCTTGGGCTTCCTCTGTGAGATGGATTTCTCATTGTCTTGGTTGATCGTTTGTTGAAAGGGGTGTCACACAAGTCAAGATGTTTTCTGCTGAGCAGTGAGTTTGATCCCACTCAGACCCTACTGACCACAGAATCAAAAAATTACGGTATTCGACTTATCAAGCTTAACATGGCGCTATCTCATACACTGGAGCAACAACTCTAATCCTGATTTCCTGCTTTTTCCCTCAAAATATTTATATTGTTTCTCTTTAAATATTATCCAATTCCATTTTAAATGCTGTTATGATCTCAGCCTTAACAATCGCTTGTCACAAAGTATTCCATTGTCTTAATAACCGTCTATTTTCCTTCAAATCCTAAATTTATGCCTCCTGCTTACTGATTACGGAGTAGAAATCTTTCAGCAGCAGGAATAATGTTTCAAGAAGAGAGGATCGATGCTCCGAGTTGACTTCAATAGGAAAAGGAAGAACATTGTTCAGGAGAGCCAAAAATTGTTTTCTTAGTAATCTGGTTCTGCCCCCCCCCCCATTAATAAGACTTTTATTGCTTTTGT